TCACTAGCTTTCAGACCGAGGAACTTCCTTTATTTAGTATTTCTTTCTTTTTTTTATTTTATTTGACAGAGAGAAAGAGAGAGAGAGTACAAGCTGGGAAGCAGCAGGCAGAGGGAGAGGGAGAAGCAGGCTCCCTGCAGGGAGCCCGATGTGGGGCTTGGTCCTAGGACTCTGGGATCGTGACCTGAGCTGAAGGCCAGCGCTTAACCGACTGAGCCACCCAGGCGCCCCTATTTAGTATTTCTTGTTAGGCAAGAGTGCTTACCAATGAATTCTCTCGGTTTTTGCTTATCAGTAATGTTATTTCACATTCATTTTTTTATTATTTATTTATTTTTGAGAAAGAGAGAGGGTGTGAGCAGGGAGGAGGTGCAGAGGGAGAGGGAGAGAGAGAATCTCAAGCAGGCTTCCCACCCAGTGCAGAGCCTGACACGGGGCTTGATCTCACGACCCTGAGATCATGACCTGAGCCGAAATCAAGAGTCCGACACTTAACTGGCTGAGCCACCCAGGTGCCTCTCACATTCATTTTTTATTTTTATTTTTTATTTATTTTTATTTTTTTTAAAGATTTTATTTATTTATTTGAGAGGGAGAACACATGAGAGGGGATAGGGTCAGAGGACGAAGCAGACTCCCTGCCGAGCAGGGAGCCCGATGCGGGACTCGATCCAGGGACTCCAGGATCATGACCTGAGCCGAAGGCAGTCGCCCAACCAACTGAGCCACCCAGGCGCCCTCACATTCATTTTTTAAAGATAGCTTTTCTGGTTATAAGATTCTTGGTTGGCATTTTTCATTTTTCTTTGAGCACTTTGAATATGCTATCCTCCTGTCTTCTGGCCTCCACTTGCTGATGAGAACTCAGTTTTTAATTTCATTTGGGTTCCCTTGTAAGTGACAAGTCATTTTTCTCCTGCTCTCTTTCAAGGTTTTCTTCCTTTTATGTGACATTTAGGAGTTTTACTATCATACATCTGTTTGTAGATCTCTTCGTGTTTCTTACTTGGAACTCATTGAGCGTCCTAGATGTGTAGATGAATGTATCAGTACATTTGGGCAGTTTGGGGCCATTATTTGTTCATTTTTTTTTCTGCTCCTTTTTCTCACTCCTCTTTTGGTTCTCATTATATATCAGTTAGTACACTGAGTGGCACCCCACTTTTCTCTGAGGTTCCATTCATTTCCCTTCATTCTTTTTTTTCTGATAGTATAATCTCTTTTGATCTATCTTCAAGTTCACTAATTCTTCTGACAGTTCAGATCTCTTCTTGAGCTATTCTAATGAATTTTCCATTTCAGTTATTGTACTTTTCAACTCCAGAATTTCCATTGGATGCTTTTTTATACTTTCTATTTATTGATACTCTCTGTTTGATGTGATGTGATGTTTGTCATCATAATTTTACTTTACTTCTTTAATCATGGTTTCCTTTCATTCTTGGAACATACTCATGATGGCTACTTTCAAGTCTTTGTTGAATTTAGTATGTAGTCACTCACATAGGCAGATTCTGTTGCCTGCTCTTTTTTTTCCAGTGTATGAGTCATGCTTTCCTGTCCACATGCGTGTCTCATCATGTTTTGTTGGAAACCGGACATTTTAGATAATATATTGTAGCAACTCTCTGTTCTTCTTTCTTCTCCCCAGGGCTTGTTATTGTTATTTGTTTGTTTATTTGTTTGGTAAATGGCTGCATTATTTTAGTGAAGTCTAGTCCACTCCTAAATGTTAAGCATTTGATGTTGCTCCTCAGGGAGCACACAGCCCTGGGTGTGCACCCAGTCACCCTTGAATGACAATACTTTTTACTGGGTTTTCTTTGTCTGTCTCTTTCTCTGACCTGAGCCAGCCATTAATTGCCAGCTAATTGCTCTATTGTTTTCACCGGTGCTCTGGAGCATAATTTCTCTGCAGATGAATCCAGTCAATTCCAGACACCTTTTTGGGGCTAATTCCTAAGGTCAATTTTTGAGATTTGTTCTGATCCCAGGAAGGCTCCTCCTAGCTGTCTTTTCCCCCAGTCTCTCCCGCAAACTAGTCAGCCTACGGTTTAGGGTGTATAGTCAATAAATCTATCAAATTCTTTCCAGTTGCCTTGCATTATAACCTCTGCTCTTTTTGAGAGTATCCTTAGGATTGACTGTTTTCATTCTCTGTTGCAAATGAATCAGTTTCTGTGCAAATACATTAGGAGCTACCTGTTTTAAGGTCTGCTTTCCCCGCCCCCCCAGGCCAAATCTCTGATACCTCGCTCTGGAGGTAGGCAAAGTGGTGTGCTTATCTCTGCGTGACGTTGCTACTCTAGGAGCTGAGCACTAGGTGTGGGTGTCAGATCTTCTTGGGTTGCCTCTGCAGGCACAGAACTGCCTTCCGATCACAATTGCCTTACGAGGACAATCAGGGAGTCCTCTAGGATTCGCAGCAGTATACACCCAGGGTAGATCCTTCATGCCACCAGTAGGGACTGGGTAGATAAAAGGAGCTCCCAACCTCTCAGCCACATTGCTTGGACTTTAGAATCAACAATGGTTAGCTGGGGGTAAGATGAGAAATGCTGACATCCTGCCCCTCCCAGGAAGCTAGCCCTCTGAAAGGGAGCTGGGGGAGCGGCTGCCCCAGGCCCTTAGCTATGCCAATCTAGCTTGGAGCTGGGAGAGGCACTAAAGAGAACTGTTGTGGTTTAAAATCTTAAGACTCTGGGTGCCTGAGGGGCGCCTGGGTGGCTCGGTTGGTTAAGCGTCTACCTTCGGCTCAGGTCATGATCCCAGGGTCCTGGGATCGAGCCCTGATTCCAGGCTCCCTGCTCAGCGGGGAGCCTGCTTCTCCCTCTCCCTTTGCACTCCCCCTGCCTGTGTTCTTTCTCTCTGTTAAATAAAGAAAGAAAATCTTTAAAAAAATAAAATCTTAAGACTCTCCCTTAATTTTAGCAGATTTAAAAAAATAGATGTTTCCTAGTTTGCTACAGGCCCTTAGGACCAATGTTTTTTTTTTTTTTTTTTTTTAATAATTTTCCCCAGTTTCCCCGGGAGGTAAGCCTGCAGAGCCCCTCGTGGTCCCATGCTGGAAGTCCGTCTCCCCTGTTCTGTTTAGGTCATAAATCCATATTTTACACCTCCACCTTTGCTACTCTGCTTATTTCAAGTTTCTGTTTGCTCTCGCTTTTCCTTCATGGTAGCCTTCCTTCCGTCTGTGACCCCCAGTTTTGTTGGAGCTGTGCCATGTTACCCTTTGAGCCCACTTGTAGTTTTGAAATCTAAACAAAAACAATACAGTGAGTTTAAACAGAATTTTATTTGAAATATCATTTTTTGTTAATCTTAAAAGGTCTTTTTTCCATGAAAATATAAAATAAGGTATCTTAGTCCCCTTCCTGTTTTAACATGTTTTGAAACTTAAATTTTCATTAACTTGCTAATGTTATTTTAATAATGCTAATATTTAGGGGCGCCTGGGTGGCTCAGTTGGTTAAGCGACTGCCTTCGGCTCAGGTCATGATCCTGGAGTCCCTGGATCGAGTCCCGCATCGGGCTCCCTGCTCGGCAGGGAGTCTCCTTCTCCCTCTGACCCTCCTCCCTCTCATGCTCTCTGTCTCTCATTCTCTCTCTCTCAAATAAATAAATAAAATCTTTAAAAAAAAAATAATGCTAATATTTAAGAAAATAATGCTAATATTTAAACAGCATCCTGCATTTAGATTTATTTTATTTTTTTAAAAGATTTTATTTATTTATTTGAGAGAGAGAGAGCACAAGCAGGGGGAACAGCAGCGGGCAGAGGCAGAAGCAGGCTCCCCGCTGAGCAGGGAGCCTCCCGATACAGGGCTTGATCCCAGGACTCTGGGATCACGACCTGAGCTGAAGGCAGACGCTTAACTAACTGAGCTGCCCCCGTATCTAGACTTAAAATCAGCAATTCCCACACGTTATTGCAGACCAATATACTTTGCTGGAGCTGAGGAAGGGTCGTGGAAGGAGAATGGAAGCCATAGCAGCTCTCGGTGGGGGGGGGGGGAGGGGTGGTAGGACACAGGGAGAGAGAGAGAAAGAATCTTAACCAAGCTCCAGGCTCAGTGAAGAGCATGATGCAGGGCTCGATCTCACAACCCTGAGACCATGACCGGAGCCGAAACCAAGAGTCGGCCGCTTAACAGGCTGAGCCACCCAGGCGCTCTCTTGTCCTAGTTGTTCTTAGATTGACAGTGAGGAACACTTTGAGAGTTGTTTGGGTTAATTTCAAGAGAGTGCACCTCTAGACTTGGGCTGAAGCAAACGGCTTTTGCTCATTGGCCAGCTTCGTCATTTTCCATTTTAATTGGAAAATCTCAATGGAAATGATTCTAGTAAACAGTTTCCTAACCCCTACTTTTAGCTCTCTCTTCACTTGGTACTCAGTAGCAGCATTTCTCAGTTTCAGTATTGCCAAAACTTTATGAAGATTTACTTCCTATTTTGGCTTCAACCTGAATAATCGAACATCAAAGTAGATACAGAAATCATTTAGTGCATTGATTTCAACACAGAGAACCATTCACTCCCCTTCCATTGATTAGAGGAGAGTAGCCTTGAATTTCATGTTTCGTTCTTTTTTTTTTTTTTAAAGATTTTTTTTATTTATTTATTTATTTATTTATTTATTTATTTATTTATTTATATATTTTTAAAGATTTTATTTATTTGACAGGGAGAGACACAGCGAGAGAGGGAACACAAGCAGGGGGAGTGGGAGAGGGAGAAGCAGGCTTCCCGCAGAGCAGGGAGCCCGATGCGGGACTCGATCCCAGGACCCTGGGATCCTGACCTGAGCCGAAGGCAGACGCTTAACAACTGAGCCACCCAGGCGCCCCTATGTTTCGTTCTTAATCTTTAAAAAAGAGGCTCTCGTAAGAAGTCCCGGGTGGAGTCATTCTAACTGGGGAGGAAGTAGACACTAAGCGGTCGCATGTCCAGGATATCATCAAGGAAAAACCGATTATGCTTCTTGTCTTTCTTATGGCCAGGATATCCCATACCAAAGCTTGACGTGAGCTTTCCATTGGAGCCTCGGGAAGAAGCGTGGGTGAAGGAACTACAAGAATCCAAAGAAATGAAGCAATTACTTGATTCCAAGATAGGTAAGTAATTGTTCACTGATATCACAGAAGAGAGAAAAGAGAAATTCAGCCTTGATCAGGAGAGAGAGTTTGGGATTCTCCATAGGAATTTCTGTTTTCCTACTGGTGGTTTAATACAACTCTTCACTTTCCCTCGTGTTTTTGTTTTTTTTCCTCCGTGGGACACGGTGACAGCTGCCATTTCTCTGTCTTCTCTCAGGTTTTGAGATCGGGATAGAAAACGAAGATGATACTTCAAAACAGAAAAAACTGGAGAACATGTACCCATTTATTGTTACTCTAGAGGGGAATGCTCTCCACGGGCCCATCTTGCAGAAGGACTATGTACAGTTGGAGAATCAATGGGAGAGCCCCCCAGAGGATTTACAGACAGATTTAACAAAACTGGTAGATCATCAGGACCCCCCAGCAGGAGAGAAACCTGAAAATTCCAACATGGAAGAACCTCTTAACCCCAGGCCCCAGAAGAAAAAGAGTCCAGGGGACAAACCTCACCGATGTCCTCAGTGTGGGAAGTGTTTTGCTCGGAAGTCACAACTTACGGGGCACCAGAGAATTCACTCAGGAGAGGAGCCCCATAAATGCCCTGAGTGTGGAAAAAGATTCCTCCGTAGTTCAGACCTTTATAGGCACCAACGGCTTCACACAGGGGAGAGACCCTATGAGTGCACCGTGTGTAACAAGCGATTCACTCGGCGGTCGCACCTGATAGGCCACCAGAGAACCCATTCTGAAGAAGAAACGTACAAATGCCTGGAGTGTGGGAAAAGCTTTTGTCATGGATCAAGTCTCAAAAGGCATCTGAAAACGCATTCGGGTGAAAAACCTCACAGATGTCCCAGTTGTGGTAAAAGTTTTAGTAGACTGACAGCTCTAACTTTGCATCAGAGAACTCACACAGAAGAGAGACCTTTTAAATGTACTTACTGTGGGAAAAGCTTTAGACAGAGACCAAGCCTTGTTATTCATTTACGAATCCATACAGGGGAGAAGCCATATAAGTGTAGTCATTGTTCTAAAAGCTTCAGGCAGAGGGCAGGCCTTATTATGCACCAGGTCACTCACTTTAGAGGACTTCTTTGAGAATTGTCAAAGGCAGCAGGCTCCTACAGAAATTGACACTCAAAAAAAAAAAAAAAAAAATCTTAACCGACAGCAGCCTGTTTGTCTTGGAGGAATCTTTTCGTTTGAGCTTATGAGAACAGGTTTTAAGAACTATTTTAAAACCCCGTCTTCCAAAGTATGTGAATTCTAGTGTATCCATCTAGTCTTGCAATGTTCCCAGATTCGATTTATTCTGTCTCTTACTTATTTTTTTTTTTTTTATGACAATGAAATCTTTTGTGTCCCGGGCCAACCGTATCATAGATATAAAGCATAAAGCATATCACGGATGACAATCCTTTTCAGGGTAGGGTTCATATGATGGATAATCGTGTCCACCAACATATCTCCTGTAGCAGCACCAGAATTATTCTGCTGTCATTATTTTTTTTTAAACAGCAACTCTTTTTTTTTTTTTTAAGATTTTATTTATTTATTTGACAGAGAGAGACAGTGAGAGAGGGAACATAAGCAGGCAGAGTGGGAGAGGGAGAAGCAGGCTCCCCGCTGAACAGAGAGCCCGATGCGGGGCTTGATCCCAGGACCCTGGGATCATGACCTGAGCCGAAGGCAGACGCTTAACGACTGAGCCACCCAGGCGCCCCTCTGCTGTCATTATTAAAGGCGATTATATTCGTTCAAAGCTTTATGTGTCATAACTAGCAAGAAAGGAGACAGTGTATTTTGTCAAATAATAAAAATGTGTCGGGAACACATTTGCCTGGTAAGAACGGGGTTATTTCCATAGAAAGTTTTTATGTTTAAGGAAAGTAAGATTTTTACCCTTTAGTTATGAATTGTGCAGAGTTGGCTAGTCTGCTTAGTCGGTGGTCTGGGGTGATGCTGCTTAGAGCCGAGTATTCATTTGAGGATTTCTTTTGTTCACAGAATAAGTAAGCTCTTTGTGGAAGAATCCGTTTGACAGTTGATGTCATCCAAGTAGAATTTGATTTAATTTAGACTGACTGAGGAACCAGTGTCTGTTGCTTGGTACTCCTTTGGTATTCACCCCTGTGTCTCTCAGTGCTTTTAAAATTTTACCCATTCTTTAATTCAGTGTCCCCCTAACTATGTGTCGTAGAGCACTTAGTTCTACAAGATACTTTACAAATAACTTCGGGACTCCCTGCTGTCTCCACTTTCTAGATTCACGGTGCCCATCAGCATATGAGGATGTCTGAGAGGCCGTCCGGTAAAGGTGTGGCAAGAGCACCTCTTTTGGCTCAATGTTTTGCCAACCTATTTGACCCCAGAACCCCTTTTCATGTCCACCCAGTGATAACCCAGAGAACCAGTATTCGGCAGATATTCCTTGGAATACACTGTCTTTAACAGATGTATCTATAGCTGTCAGTATAGTCTTGTCGCTCCCAAGCCTAGTTATCTCCAGTTGTTTCAAGGGTGTTATGAAAAGTTCTTTACATATATACATTTTTTTTTATGTAATACACACACACACACACACATCATTTTAAGGAGGTGTGAGGGTCACTAATTGAGATAATTTATATGTCGCTCAGTGATTCTCAACCTCTTTGAAATTTACTTATAACCACACACACATATTGCTACTTATATAAACATTCTCATGTAATCGCGGTAATGACTCAAAGTCCTGTAACAAGGGAAGAGCTCTCTTTGTCAGTTATAGCTGTTGATACCTGAAAATATTCCTTCAGCCTACCTAGTTCCTTGTTGTGAAATACAAGAGGTAGGACATTCAAGTATTTTCCCTTTTTGAAGATACCAGTCATTCTTTCCCTAACCTAGAATTACGGAAAGTATATATATTTTTTCTCTTCCATTGAAGTTCTCGGAAGTGATATTGACTATAAATATTTCGGGGGCAACTACGATGTGCCCAGCTAGTCCTGTTCTAGGCTTAATGGAAACCAGTAAAGACATTAATCTGTGAGTCAGGTGCATAAGGAGTTTATAATATCGTTAGTTAAACAAGAGTTGGGAAACACATGGAGAACAATGCAAGAGAGTTTGGAATTAAGTGCCAAATCATATGAAGCGCTAGAGCCAGGGTGTGTCTTTAATTCTTGTCATCCGGGTCCCTGTAAGATGCTGCTATAAGTGTGGGGTTAACGTTGAGATCCCAGTAGCAATAAACATGTAACGTGGGAGGAGTCTGAATGTAGAGATGAACAATACGGAATGTAATGGCTTCTCTTTTCTCTCTTGTGGACTTGCATTCAAACCAGGACAGTGCCTTAGAAAGGATGTGCCCAACTGCTCTGTATCTATGCAATATTTTAATAAAGTGGAAATGTGTATGCTCGTCCTGCCTCGATCACATTAATAATGGTTTGCGCAACTCAGAACCGCTTCCCTGAGCCGTGGCGACAAGCACCACAGTTGACCCCTGCTCCCACCCTACGTTGCAATCACTTTACTCCCTGCACGCGTGGTGCTGGGTTTATGCATCATTCTGAGCATTTAATACAGTCAGTTTTAGCTAGGAGGCTTAGTTGCCGTCGTCATACGAGCTGCATCCTCCCCGCCCCCCCCATCTATAGCATAAATGCACAACTGGATTTTGCAGCTTAGAAGACATCTATTACCTATTTCTTTGTTCTACTGTCATGTATGTAACAGGCACTAATCAATATTTGTGGCATTGAGTCAAGCGTTTTGAAGGACAAAAGCCAGCAGCCATCCCATAAGTGCTCTGAAGGTTAAATGAAATATGTATTGTCCAGGCCTGACACAGTGTAAGCTTTTCAAGAAATATTCAGGATATTGTCTTTTCATTCTTCGCTGTTTAATGATAAAAGCACTTAAGTTATGGATTTTCCTCTAAATATGGCTTTAATCCCATTCTGTAGTTTTATACATAATGTCCGTATTAGGATTTTCCAGAGAAACAGAACCAATGGTGTGTGTGTGTGTGTGTGTGTGTGTAGAGAACGAGAGGGAGAGAGAGATTGATTACAGGAATTGGCTCATACAGTTAGGAAGACTGAGAAGTCCCATAATTGGCTATCTGCTAGCTGGAGAGCCAGAGTGGCTGGTAATATAATTCAATTCTAGTTGGGACACGTTAACTCCTAGTCCGATGTTGTAACTCCCGGTCCAAGGTGGAAGACTTGAGAACTGGGGGGTTGCAGGTGTAAGTCCCAGAGTCTGAAAATCAGAGAACCAGGAGCTTTAGTGTTCAAGAGCAGGAACAGAAGGACATCCCAACTCAAGAAGAGAGCCAGGGAATTTGCTCTTCTTCCACCTTTTTGTTCTGTTCAGGCCCTCAAGGTTCGGTGCTGCCCACCCACTTGGTGAAGGCAGATTGCTTTACTCAGTCACTGAGTCAAAGGCTAATAATCTCTTCTGGTAACACCCTCACGGACAAGCCGAGGAATAATGTTTTACCAGCTATCTGGGCATCTCTTAGTCCAGTCAAGTTGGCACATTAAATTAATCATCACAGATGATTTCAAAATTATTCGTAATTGCAGTTTTCATTATAATTCCTCTTTGATCCAAAGCTATACGATATTGCCATTTTTTTAACTTTTCGTTTTGCCACATTGTGATTAGAAAATGAGGTTCATTCTATTTCTGCTTTTAAAGTTCATTTAGGGGCGCCTGGGTGGCTCAGTTGGTTAAGCGACTGCCTTCGGCTCAGGTCATGATCCTGGAGTCCCGGGATCGAGTCCCGCATCGGGCTCCCTGCTCAGCGGGGAGCCTGCTTCTCCCTCTGACCCTCCTCCCTCTCATGCTCTCTGTCTCTCATTCTCTCTCTCTCAAATAAATAAATAAAATCTTTAAAAAAAAAAGTTCATTTAGGAAAAAAATAAAAGTTCATTTAGGTTTTTTTAAAAAAGATTTATTTGAGAGAGAGAGCCTGCACGTGCATGCGTGCAAGAGTGGGGAAGGGGCAGAGGGAAAGGGGAAGCAGACTCCCCGCCGAGTATGGAGCTCCGCGCGGGGCTCGATCTCACGACCCTGAGATCATGACCTGCACCGAAACCAAGAGTTGGGTGCCTTAACTGACTGAGCCATCCACGTGCCCCCATTTATTTTTTATTTTTTATTTTTAATTTTTTTAAAAAGATTTTATTTATTTATTTGAGAGAGAGAGAATGAGAGACAGAGAGCACGAGAGGGAAGAGGGCAGAGGGAGAAGCAGACCCCCTGCCAAGCAGGGAGCCCGATGTGGGACTCGATCCCGGGACTCCAGGATCATGACCTGAGCCGAAGGCAGTCGCTTAACCAACTGAGCCACCCAGGCGCCCTTTTTTTTTTTTTTTAAAGAGGTATATGTGATAAAATTTGGTTAAGTATCCTAAAGCCCTAGAAAATAAGGATTCTAGATGTAAGGCAGACACAAAATACAGTCGTGTAGCTCTCGGTTACTTTAATGGGGTGTCCTTGGTGTTTGTGAAGGGGCAGTGGCACAGAAGAGGTTAGGTTGCTCCCCTTCTGCCTCCCTGCATTTTTGGACCCCCTGTTCCCTTGGTGCGAGGTTTTTTGGGAATACATTCTGGATGTCATATAGCAATTATTAATAGCTGCCGAGCTATCAAGGCTGGCAGTAAAAGCAGGAGGCCAAAGGACCTCAGAGAGACCTAGCCTCTCCGCACCAGGCCGAGACTGAGCCACCCAGGCGCCCCTGTCCTCTTTTAAATGCCAGTTCTCAGTGGGATTGCTCCTTACACCAAATAGGGAGGCCTTTCCCCAGCCTACAATAAAGGCACTCAAGAGGACTGAATTTCTAAGTTAAAAGATTTTTTGTTTGCTTTAAGATTTTATGTATTTGACAGAGACAGAGAACACAAGCAGGGGGAGCGGCAGAGGGAGAGGGACAAGCAGACTCCCCACGGGGCAGGGAGCCCAATGGGGGGCTCGATCCCAGGACGCTGGGATCATGACCCGAGCCGAAGGCAGATGCTTAACTGACTGAGCCACCCAAGTTCCTGGTAAAAGATTGGTTTTATAGATATATTTCTTTTTTTTTTTTTAAAGATTTTATTTATTTATTCATGAGAGACAGAGAGAGAGAGGCAGAGGGAGAAGCAGGCTCCCAAGGAGCAGGGAGCCCAATGCGGGACTCGATCCCAGGACCCTGGGATCATGACCTGAGCCGAAGGCAGACGCTTAACGACTGAGCCACCCAGGCGTCCCTGGTTTTATAGATATATTTCTCTTTCACAACTTTCCTGCTGTAACAAATAAGCAACATTTTGGTCAAGAACCGATGATAAATGTGGGTGGTGACTGGCCCTTGGTCACTGTCAAGTCACCTGGTACAAGAACTTGGCTGCTACGGTTCACATGAGTGGTTTAGGCTTAAACTTTTTCTAAATACATAAGGCTTCAGCTTTTCACAGGTAGAAAATAACAATGATCCCCACCTGCCCAGATTTTTCCATTACTTAATCAATCATGGTAATAAATCTAAAGGCTTTGCAATGTCAACATGATCTGCAAAAGCGAGGAAAAGCCTGGGGTCCTGGGCCACCTCTTATTTCAGAGCAAGATTATAGAAGCGTAGTTTCCAAAGAGAAGCCCACTGCATCCCCAAGGAAACTTGCTGGCCCTGGGAAAAGACAGAAACAATGAAAGGAAATGGTGACCGAGGGTAAAGAGCTTGGATGTGGAGTGAGGGGGTGGGAGGCGGGGAGCAGGAAGAAGACCGGGTAGGAAGAAATACTCAATCAGGCACCATTCATATGCTGCCCCCAAATATGGATTAAGGATATGGGCTACTAAATCCTTGACTCTCTCCTGCGTGCTGGGCTCTTTACAAAGATAACCACACAGGGTCCTCGCAATGTTCCTCACAGCAAAGGGTGATTCCCATCTCGTGGCTGAGAAGATTCACGCTTGAAGCTGAGGTTTCCTGGGAATGAGCCAAGGGGTTTCCAGACTCGGACACGGGAGACTTGTGAATAAGACATGGTTCGTGGTTCCAGCAATGTCTGCAAAGCAAAAAAAAAAGAAAGAAAAAAAAAAAGGATGACCTATCAAAGGTGAAGATTGGAGTGATACTACTGTACTTATTACTTTGATTGTCGGCCTATGCCTCCAAGACCCCCAGCAGTGCCCACCCCACACCACCACTGCAGGGAGAGACTGGGCAGACCGCCACTCTCCACTCTGTCTACGGGTCCCATCTTTTCCCTTTCTCCTAGATAGAGCTGGCTTTGAAGAACATTCGGGGGCACCTGGGTGGCTCAGTCGGTTGGGCGTCTGCCTTGGGCTCAGGTCATGATGCCAGGGTCCTGGGATCCAGCCCCTCATCGGGCTCCCTGCTCAGCGGGGAGTCTGCTTCTCCCTCTGCCCCTCCCCCTGCTCGTGCTCTCACTCTTTCTCTCTCTCAAATAAAAAATAATAATAAAAAAAGAACATTCGGATCCACATCCTCACCCCTACAACAAAGGCACCTGAGCAGCATTCCCACAATCCCATCCAGAGCCCATCTTCCTGCTGCTTCTGGCTGTGGCAAGGCTTTCTGGAAAAAGGAGAAAAATAAAGATCAAAACCTGGGTGCGAAGGAATAGCGCAGAGGACCACAGGGGAAGGGAGGGAAAACTGAAGGGGAAGAAATCAGAGAGGGAGACAAACCATGAGAGACTCTGGACTCCGCGAACCAAACTGAGGGTTGCGGAAGGGGAGGGGGTGGGGGGAGGGGGTGACCCGGTGACAGGTATGGAGGAGGGCACGTGATGTGATGAGCACTGGGTGTTATATGCAGCTGATGAATCGTTGGACACTACCTCTGAAACTAATGATGATACTATATGTGGGCTAATTGAACATAATAAAACAAAACAAAACTTGGGTGCTTAAAAGGTCAAATTTAGGTTTATTTTTTATTTATTTATTTTTAAAAGATTTTATTTATTTGGACAGAGAGAGAGACACAGAGAGAGAGGGAACACAAGCAGGGGGAGCGGGAGAGGGAGAAGCAGGCTTCCCGCGGAGCAGGGAGCCCGATGCGGGGCTCGATCCCAGGACCCTGAGATCATGACCTGAGCCCAAGGCAGACGCTTAACGACTGAGCCACCCAGGCGCCCCCAAATTTAGGTTTATTTTTAAATGAGAACCATTTAATAAAGTCAAGATGTCTATAACAATGGCACCCACAATGGACAGAGGAACACGAATAAGAACTGGAAAAAGATGTCACCACATAGTAAAAAAGCAGATCGTAGAAATGCCCAGTAGTGACCCTACCACTGCTGGTAGTTCCTGTCTCTAGAGACCCGGAGAAGGGATTTCAACACCATCTTTTTTTTTTTTTTTTTAAAGATTATTTATTTATTTATTTGAGAGAGAGAG